ATGATTTTGTCGAAACCCAAATTGATTTAATAACTATGATTCCATTTCAAGTTTAGCAATTCGTTTATGAATCTCTATCCATCCCGCCTTGGCCAAGGACTTTGAATTACTAACTATGAAACACATAGGAAATTCACTTATCTTCATAAGTGTCGAATCCTTTGTTGGCCACTGACAAACTTCCATACATATTAATATAATACCCAAAATATCCCTTTATGCGATCGTGCTAGCAATCAAAAAGATAAATCAAAGTAAAATATAATATGCACAAAGTTACCATCGTGCCTCAAGTCTAAGGATTAATCATGTACTATTGTAACATGAAAATTCTTATTCGACATGATAAACTTTCATTAAGAATTTTCATACGGCCATGTTCAGTGAACTTGTTCTCTAACAAGCACCCACATATATTTATTTGCCTCCCACGCTAATATTGATGGAATGCAACATTCTTATCCAATAAGCATACATACTATGTGCAAGTCTTTTCCGGATTTATTCGATATCCCATCTCGAAATATCCAACGACTTGGAACTGTATTTAAGATCACAACTTTCAAGATATGTTCCATGATCACCATCTCTATGCGCAACCATATCTTATAGCTATAAGTAATCTAGGAATTTTATCTTAAGTGCAAACATATGATAAATGCTTACTCTTAAAATAAGGTAATGCCTTATTATTTAGTATAATTCCAATAGATTGTATTTAGTCCAATTTGATTGGAACGCCGGGTATCCTACTCTAACAATCTCCCACTTGCCCTAGTTCCAATCACTCATGTATCTTAGACCCATCTTCTCAAGATGTCCTTCAAACACTTTCTGTGATAAAGGCTTAGTTAAGGGGTCTGCTATATTTTCTGCTGAGTCGACTCGCTCTATTATGACGTCTCCTCTACCAATGATATCTCTAATCAAATGGTATCGTCTCATAATGTGTTTGGATCTTTGATGAGATCTTGGTTCCTTTGCTTGCGCAATAGCCCCATTGTTATCACAATAAATTGTTATTGGATCAATAACAGATGGTACTACACCCAACCCTTGGATGAAGTTCCTTATCCAAACAGCTTCCTTTGCAGCATC